TAAGGGTTTTAAACTGTGTACCGTTGTTGGTTTAACAAAAAGGAAAAAATAAAATAAAACAAATAAAAAACAGTAAATAATGGGAAATTAAAACAAAGGGTTTTTATAAATTATGGAAACGGTACAGAGTTTTGAAATACTATTTATTAATAAACACAATTTTTTTAAATAAGATATAAAAAACTTTAAAATATATAACTTTTAATTAATCAATATGAGTTGTTCACATTGTTAATACCCAGCTGAGTCAATTTAACATTTGTTCTTGGTATTGATTTATCTTCTGTTGTTAATTTTTTTTAAAGTTGTCAATAATTTACTGGATGTTTAACATTCAAACAATTAATTTATTTTTAATTAAATTTAAATGAATTGCACGAGTCACTTTTAATACTGAACGAAAAATGACTCATCAAATTAACCGAGTGAATAGAAAAGACTACAATGGCTTCTTTGAAAACTCGAATAAATGGGTTAATTAAATGGTTGTGTTGAAGTCAAACAAGGTTGAACAAAAGATCAATATTTTATGATTAAATAATAAAAATAATAATAAATAATAATAAACTTACTATTATAACTCACATTAAGCTGTTGTACATTCATACTTTATACAACACATTAGTTTTTTTCATCCCGAAAAATAACCAATTTTAAGACCAAATAATAAGAAAATTACACATTTATTTATATCTTTGCCCGTTTTATTGTATAAAATCCGCTTAATATTCAATAGCTAAAATTAGTCTGGTCCCCGGTTTTTCCTGTGGTCTGTAAACATTAAAATAGTTGCAAATATTATTTTGCGAATGTATAGATAATTATTATTTATTTTTGATACATATTGGAAAATCTATTTAATTTTCGAATATTTTATTAAATTCAATTAGAGAAATAATAATAACGAAAATAACAATATTTAATATTTAATGAAAATAAAGTTTACACAAATCATATTCTCCTTATTCAAAAAAAATATTATTTAATATATTATATAGATATTAATAACTAAATCATAATTTATGATAACATATTTTATTATTTACTTTGTACAAAATAGGCATCATATTTTAGTATTATTTGAAATTTTTAGATAAACAACTTAAAATGTAACATAACAACAATTAGATTCGAAAAATCTTTTACTAAATTAACAATTAAGTTTTTATTTGTTAAATTTTAAACTATATATTCATAATAATTTACCCTAAGATTATGTCGAATTCTTCTAAACACGTTTTATCTCAAGAAATGAGTCAAAAGCCAACAAAAATGGTGAATATCTACCACTTCCAATTGTTGACAGATTCGTTTTTCATCCTTCAAATTTTGAAAGAAAAAAATTTAAATGCACTTTTAAAAATTGCCATGTTAATATTATTATAAAGAAAAGTGTAGGTTCGGGGAAAACTTTGAAATATGAAGATTTTGAATTTGAATCAATTGAAACCAAACACATTCATCACCCAAAATCAAGAGAAAACAAAACATCTCGTTTGGTACTTTTGAAATGGCACACAAAAAGGAAAACCTTTTTAAACGAAACGATTCTGTGGTCCAAATATATTTAGAACATAATAACGACAATAGACAGATTGATACAATCAAAAAAGAATATTCATACGAAAAACACAAAGCCATTGACCAAATTGCAAAAGAAATACAAGAAGATGAGAATTACTTATTTATTAAAAAAGAAGAATACTTTATTTTTGCAAACAAAACTAAATTGATGGAATTGAGTGAAATGTACTTTTCTTATATTTGTATGGATGGTACCTTTTCAAGTTCACCAACGGAATTTACACAATTATATACCTTTCACGTAATATTAAAAAACGGACAAACATTTATTTATTTCACGTGTCGATGACAAAGAAAACAGAAGAAATATATTATTATTAAAAGAAATTGACAATATTCATTATAATATTACTAATAAAAAACTTTTTTTGTAATAAAATACAAATTATGTTGGATTTTGAAGTTGCTATGTTAAATGCACTTGACAAATTTGATTGTATAGTTCATGGATGTTATTTTCATTTTTGTCAAGCAGTTTGGAGAAAAGCGCGCAATCTTTAAATGGAACTATATTATGGTAATATTAATTATAAAACAGAAAAATATTTAATGGCTCTGGTATTTTTTAAACCCAAAGATGTAATAAAAACTTTTGGTTTTATTGAAAATAAGTTTATCGTGTTATTATTAGACGAAAAAAGAAACAACGCATAAATTGCTTGTATATTTTTACAAAGTGTGGATTGATGGAATTTTTCCACTTGATTTGTGGTGCCAAAATTTACAAAAGACTCGAACTGACAATACGTCAGAAGCATACCACTCGCCACTTCAAACAAGGATACCATGTGTGCATCCCAGACTAGAAGATTTAATAATAACTATGGTTAAAATAAAAAATAAAGACACCAGAAAACTCAAACAAATGAATTTAGCACAAAATCACCACTGAAAAGCGCCATTTTCTGAAAAAAAACACTCGCTTGAAAGATGCAACTTTAAATTTTTATTCTGGTGAATGGACAATTAACAGATTGGAAACATATTTTAATAACATTGTCGCGGGTTTGGAAGATTTGAAACACGAAGAATTGTTTGAAGATCAGAAGGAGACATTGGAATCACTAGTTCCTAATCTATGGAATAACCTATTAAAAATCAATGAAAATGATTTAAATGAAGTGGAAAAAAGCGAAAACAATAGTTTATCAAATGGAGTGTGATACATTGCCATTGAATATATCGGAAATAGAAAAATCAAGAAAAATAAAAAGTACAAGAAAAAAAAAGAAAAGAAAAGAAAAATAAACCAAAACAAAAAAATGAAAAGGAAAAAACCCAAAAAGACATAGAACAAAAACAAAGAAAAAGAATAAGGTGTTGTTTAATGAAAAAACGTAAAAAATCTGCCATTTCCAAAACAAAACAAAAGTAAATGATTTTTAAATGTAGTGTTATTTTAAGTTATAAAAAACGAATTCAAGGTTATTAGTTGTTGTTATTATTATAATTGTTGTTAATTATAAAGTTGTTTATAATATTTTTCAACTTTGTTGTTTTCAACGTTATTGTTTTTAAAAATACACAAATAAATATTTATTTATTAGGAAAAATGTCAAAATTCCTTAAATAGTTAAAAAATAAAAAATCTTTTTTCATTCTGGAAAAAAATCCACGAGTTACAATTTTAATTTTTAAAAAGAAAGTGACAACATTAAAAATAATATTAAGAAAAAATATCTGAATTGTAAACGTGAAAATTTTGGTCATTGTTTCATTGTTATGTGATATGTCGTTTAAATTTCAACATTTTGTATTAAAAAGTTATAAAAATAATTAAATGGTTTATTTACTTGATTGTAAAATCAATAATATATAAAATTTCAAACTGAAAAAAATATATTTTCATAAATGATAAAAACTAAAAATTTCTATTTACACTAACAAATCAAAAAATAATTATGTTATAAATTTAAAATATAACATAACTTACAGTATGAACATTTTTTAGCTGGAAAACGTTGCACATATCATTAATTTTATGAATATATCATTCGATAAAAACTATTTTAATATATTAAAAATTAATATGTTATATCACACATTAATAGTTTAATTAAGATTTAACAACAAAAGTATTGTGTGAAGCAATTTTAAACATTTGGCAAAGTGACCGTATTGTATTTTGTCGTGTTAATATGTTTAAAAATTTACATATAAAAAACATTTTTATTGTATTTATATAACAACTGTCAGCATCCTGTGTGTGAACTAATATTTTTAATTAAAAATAATAAAACAAATAAATCAATTTTTGTAATTTATAACTTTTTAAATAA